TAAGAAAAGAAGAAGCAGAACAACTCTTTATATGTGTCCTTAGCCACCCCATCCTAAACCTAACATAAGCACTGAATTTTATATCTCGAACAGTTCTTTTAATAATGTTCAATCAAATATGAAATTAAGAAGACGACGCTTCCTGACGGCTCCCATCCTGCTTAAGCCGATGTTTTAGGCAGAGTGTGGATAATATTCCCTCATCCCTATAAAGCTGGCTTAGCAAATAGTGTGAGGATTTCTTCAGTTCCAGCCAAGTGGTGGGGAAGAGTGGGGTACAGCTGAGGAAAATTGATAATAGTAAGAAAAACAGGTGTGAATGAGAGAAAACATGGCTGAAACGCTATTTTTACTGCAGGCATGTAAAATTGTTTTACTTCCCAGGGGAAAAGGTAGGCCTTCCTTTCCAACCCTCCTTGGGCTTCAAGGAGGTCTGAAAATTGAGTTCTGACTAGGCCATGATTTTAGATCCTCTGTGTGGTCATGACCTTTGTGGTTCTAACACCTTGGACTTGTCAAAGCCAACAGGTGGGTGGGCACAGTCATTACCAGTACACGAAGATGGATTTTTCAAGGTAAAGTTTTCATCTAGGTGCAATAGGCTGCTCATGTTTCAGTTTTATGGCCATGGAGGAAGAGATGTTTTCCCAGCTGAGAGACACAGAGTAGCCCTAAGTCATTTTAATCACACACAACACACTGAGGCCTGCTGGCTGATCAGAATTGCCATCTAGCCTGTGTTCTTTTGTCATTTAAGTGTATCCCTTTGAGTCCAGTTCTGCAGGTTGATTTACTGTGGTGTGTTCTGCCAATGCCAGATGACTCTGGGAATGTGGCTGGAGTTGTTGGAGATATGACGTGAAGAGTTTAAGGAGATGAAGTGGGAAAGTAGATATGATGGAGAAGAGAAATTGGTCCTGACACTGTGACCAGGACTTTTGTTTCGTTGGTAACTGCTGCACCTCCCCCTGCAGTGACCTTTAGGGCTAACCGGCCCTAGGTCCGGCTGGGCAACCAGCGCGCAGCGGGAGAACAGCAAAACCCTACATAACCTGCTGCACCTCCCCCCGCAGTGATCTTTAGGAATGGCTTTCGCCACGGTCCCTAGATCGGGCTGGGCAACCAGCGCACGGGGGGGGGAGAACAGCCTGAAGCAGAGGAAGTGCAACGGAAGTTCCCTGAAAAGGCAGAAGCTTATCAATAGATAACGACCACCAAGAACCACTACAAGAATGCTAAAAATCTTTTCCCCGTCTTTCTAGAACTACAAACTTTAATCCCTTATTTGTCTTTCTAAACTTTCTTCTTTCTTCTATAATGGTCATTGCTTGTTATGTAGATCACCTCCCTGATAGTGGTAGACTGAGCCCATGAGCAAGCTGATTTCCTTGATATTCATTCCTGTGCTTTTGGAAAACATATATATACTGGTCACAAATTTAGAGAAAATTACACTCAGATTTTCACTCTTGAAGTGTGTCTGTTTGTCATTTCTTTCGCCGACGCCCTGACCACCCTGCACGCTTCTCTCAACCCTGAGGTGGCCTCATCGTCTACTGCCTACTGCTGTGCTGGTCCGCGGCAGGTAACCACCAGAAAGCCATCACCTTCTGTAGCTGGTGTTGGGGATGCCATGCCCCCATTGGACAACTCTTTATTGGGTGCCCGCTAGGTGCAAGGCTCTGCTTTATGGTGTGGTGGAATGATGATAAAGTTGATTTTAGAAATCCAAATATATAAAATGGACCTAATTGACCTAATTGTGATGATGAGAAGGAAAATATCACTGTTAACGTGGCCAGAGGATTCTTGTTTACTCTGTAAAAGAATCCTAAGTTCTGTGGTTCTCTATCTGAAATTTGCAGAGCACTTTGGGTGGTGGCTTCGTACAAGAAATCCACAAATCCATATGTTTACCAAGAGTAGGTAATATCATAATTGTTGTTAACATGTATGTCTACACATAAATGCATGATTATTTTTAAACACACATAGATAACGTTATGATTAAAATTTAAAAGCCCATTGAAAACTGTTACAGAGTTCAGTTAAATGCCTTTTCAGTTAAAGTATTTCTGTGTTGCTGTCATATGAGAATACACATAACACTTGTATAACAAAATTCATCCTTATAACTTACTTATATCATTTAAACATTTTAAAGTGATTTAAAAATAAAAGCAATTTGTTATATACTTACCCATATGTTTACCACTTCCTGCACTTTCTGTTCATTTGAAAAGATCAAGATTTCCACCTGGTACCATTTTACTCTGCTTGATGGACTTCCTTTTACATTTCTTACAGCATGTGACTCCTGGTGAGGAGTTCTTCCAGACTTTCATCTTCTTTTTAAACACCTAAAAAACTTGTTATTTTGCCTTTGTTTTCAAAAGATATCTTCAATGGGTATGAAATTCTAGTCTGACTTTTTTTTCATTCAGTACTTGAAAGATGACATTCCACGGTCTTCTGGCTTCCTATCTCCTGCCATTTTAATCCTTTTTTCTTTGAACTTAACACATCTTTCTTTCTTTCCTTCTTCCTTCCTTTCTTTCTTTCTTTCTTTCTTTCTTTCTTTCTTTCTTTCTTTCTTTCTTTCTTTCTTTTTTTCTTTCTTTCTTTCTTTCTTTCTTTCTTTCTTTCTTTTCTTTCTTTTTTCTTTCTTCTTTCTCTCTTTCTCTCTTTCTCTTTCTCTCTTTCTCTCTTTCTCTCTTTCTCTCTTTCTCTCTTTCTCTCTTTCTCTCTTTCTCTCTTTCTCTCTCTCTTTTAAAGATTTATTTATTTATCTATCTATTTATTTATTTATACAAGCACTGGGTACAGTCAGAAGTGCAGGAGGGTGAGAGAATTCACCAGAGCCAGAGCGGGGAGCAGAGCAGGCAGAAGGACCGAATACACTGCTGAGGGGAGCAGCGGGCATGGCAGGAGAGGTCTGTGCACCATGTGGGACCATTGCTGGTGGCTGGGGGGATGGAACCAGCATTGCAGGGGCTGCGGGCAGCTTCGCAGCCCAGCGCTCAACCACTGTGCCACCGGGGAGGCCCAACACATGTTGCTTTCTCTGACTGGTTTATTGTTTTCACCATATTTGGGAATTTTGGGTTATTTTTTCTTTAAGTACACCTGTTCTCCCTCCTTCCTTCTCAGATTGCAAATATATATATATATATATATATATATATATATATATATATATATATATATGGACTGCTTAAAGTTGTCCCAGTTCATTGATGCACTATAATTTGTTTTTCCAGGCTTATTCTTATTTCTGTATTTCATGCTGAATGTTCAACTTCTATGTTTTCAAGTTCATGAATACTTTCTCCTGCATGTCCGATCCATTATCAAAATGGTATGTAATGATCTCTCTTCTCATTCTGTGCCCTAACCTTCAGCTTCCCATATACACATGAAGTTTGTATATTACTAGTTTATGGGAAATTTTTTTTTCCAGAGAAAATGCATACATTAAAATTTTTTTCTCTTCTCTCCTAATAGCATCTATATGTGCTGTTGTAACCTAGCTTTTATCTTTATAGGCTACTTAGGTATGTTGCCACATAGAGATGTTATATTCCATTTAAATGCATGCCTTTGTTTCGTGGCTACATCATTATTTATTTTTATTTCAGATTTTAGGAGTCCCCTGGGCACCCCCCTTTATTGAGAGAGGATTCTTTTAATAGTCCCTGTGTGAGGTGAGACTGTAGGTTTGTTGACAGCAAGAGCCTCAGTGTTGATGTTCGATTCTTCTTTTCCCAGGAGTTGTAGGGAGGCAGGTGTGTATCCTTGCTCTGACCAGACTGGCTCATGACTCATCTTCCTGTAGTGTCATGTAGTGGGGCTTGCCTCAGGCTGGCATTAGAGGTGAGCAGCATATGGTTGGCCGCCCCAGAAAGCCAAGAAGTCTTTTTTTCATGCAGCACAGAGTCTTACTGCTCTTCCTGCACAGGTGTGTGGAACCTGATAGTTCTGGCTGTGCTCCCCTCGACGTGCCTGTAACTCACTGGGAGGCTGAAGGATTTCCCTGTGAGAGACAAGGTGAGCCTTAGTGTGCTGGCTCCTGAGAGTATGAAGGCAACCCCTAGAAGGGCCAAGGATGTCAGAACAAGAGAGAAACAGATTTTCAGGGGCTACAGAACCCGCAGATCCATTCACTGACCTTCTTGGAGTCTTTCTTTTTTCTCTTTCATTAATTTTCCAGTGATTCCAGTATTTGTGTAAGTCAGTTTTATTTATTTTCCTCTCATTTTAAGGATGTTTTCAGCAGCATGGAATACATCTATTATGGTTTGAATTCTATCTCCTCAAATTCATATGTTCAAGGCTCAACGCCCCAGTACTTCAGAACATGAGTATTTGGAGATAGCACCTTTTAGGAGATAACTTAATTAAAATAAGACCATTGGGTTGGAACCTAATGCAATGACTAGTGTTCTTCTAAAAGGAGGAAATCCCAGTTGAGAAATGTCCTTTCCAATCAATCATCGGCAAAATGAATAGAGTTAATCTTACTCAGCTTAGCCTAATCAAGAACCACCCTGAATGAAGATAGGATGTCTTTCCTTGAACATAGAGCCTCATGGAGGTAGGGAGCACCCTTCAGGCTGGAGCTGGGTCACTCAGAAGGGCCTGCATGTGTAAAACCATGATGTCTAGATAAACTTTCCATCAGGAGGGTCTGGTCTCACTAGGAAGTGTTGAAGAAAGAAAATAATGATGGCTTCTGTTATTCCACAGACCAAGGTCCTAAAACAGATCATAATCTGCATTCTTTCTTACACTCACTCATGCTTCTGTTAGGGCCTTCTCTCCCTTTACCTCTCTAGAGATCCATTATAATTCTCCCTACCAGGAGCAAAGGCTTCTGTTCTGGGAATTGAGATGATGGCACAAATAGAATGTTCTTAAAGCCAATGTGACAGTTACAATGGGGACTCAGTCTCTAGATGGGGTCATCAGAACCCAATGTGACAGCCACAATGCATCCTTGATTTCTTGTAATAAGCATAACAGCCTCTGAGGCTATCTTAACACAGACTAGGTTTGGAGTGATTGATGGGTAAGTGGGGCAAGCTGCGCAGATCGCAGGGAGCCTTGCTAAGAGCCATCATCTCCCATCTGAAACACCTTATCCCTGAGCTCACAGAGGGAGTCCTGCTGTTTATGAATCTAACTCAGGGGTTGGGATGTTCTCCACCACTCATGTGTGTAACATCCCACAGGAAAATGGGACTTTATACCTCGTGCTGATGAAATGAAAGTTGTGTGTGTGTGTGTGAGAGAGAGATAGAGACAGAGTATGTATGTGCCTCTTGTGAGTCACTGTGAGTGTGTGTGTGTCTGTGTGTGCCAATGTGCATGGGTCTACATGTGTGCCTCTCCCCCTCTGCATGTCTTAGTGTGTACCTTTGTATCTTTCCTGTGTGTCTCTCTTTCTCTGGCGGGTATGTCTCTCTGTGTGTCTCTCTGCGTGGGTGTATCTCTATCTGTGCCAGATTTCTCTGTGTTCAGGTACATACCCTGTCAGCATGACTCTGTGTGTGTGTGTGTGTATGTGTGTGTGTCTCTCGGGTAGAGAAGATTAAGCTAAGAGAAGGACATGTCCTCTGAGAGAGGCAGATAAATATGAGGCAGGGTGGTGTCCTGTGAAGGGTGTGGAGCGGCATTGAGGCCTCCGGGATGTTCAACCCCATGTTTTGTTCTACGCCCTGATGATTCTCCATGAACTCTTTCAACTCTGTGGGCCTTTGTTTTCTCAGCGCTAATACTACTTGCTTACCCTTGCTCACAGGGATTTTCTGAGAATGAAACAGTAATATGATTTAGAAGGTTTTGAAAAAGTTAAAAGCATGGTAAACAGAAAGGCATTTAGTGGATTAATATAGGACTTGATTCAGCAGAGACTGTTCTGTTCAAGAAGTGCATGGAAAAGGTACTTTGATTTACATCAATCTTTAGCTGATAGATCATGGGGTTGAGTCCAACATGCAGCTATGTGGGCAGAAGTGAGAGCATCACTGCCAGTTTAAAAGGGCATGTGGTCTAAATGGGCAAACACAGGGAAGGTTCATTTTGGATGCAGTCCCGGCCAGTTCCTGGTGGATAGGGGCGTGATGTGGACAAGCTTTTGAACCATATCCTGGTAAGGGTGACTGGGCCACAGCATGTCTGTGGATGTGAGGAGGGACTGGCTGTGTGCTGGCCCCATGCTGTCCTCCTGCCAAGGCTGTGGAGATGGGAGTGGATTTAACATCTGAAGGTGTGGGCTGTCATCTTGCATGAGGTGGATAGTGAAGTCCTCGTAAGTATTCAAGTTAGTTAACTTCTTCTACACCACCTTGGTGCCCCTTCTTGGCAACACTCTGATTTAATGTAGTTTTCTGCTATATGAATATGTTAATTCATGCATAGACTTACACAAAATGGTATAAAGACAGGGTCTTACTGGAATTGGGAAAAAGATGGTTGAGGTCATCGCCATGGACATGAACGTTCCTTACTTTGTCATGTTAATATAACCTTTCTCTGGCTGGGTTTTTTCACAAGTTAAAAAAAAACTTCTCTGATTTTTTTACTTATTCTCTGGAGTCCTACAGAGCTCTTAGGAAAATTAGAGACAGATGGCACTGGATCATACTTCTTTTTTTGTTCCCCGTCTGCTGAATATCTTTTCACCTCCCTGTCCTTGCTTCCTGGAGCTCCACAGGGCTTTCCCATGCTGACTTCATGACTCAGCACATGTTGCGGGGGTGTCATTTTCTTTCCCAGGGCTCCCTCACTCAAGGTCTACATTTCTCTGTCTGTATCTGAATGAGTGATTGTCACTCTTTTCTGCAGGTGAGCATGTATGTGCATGTGTGTGTGTTGGTATCAACTATCTGTCACCTCTGTTATTGATTCCTACGAAAGTAAGTAAGGAGAGAAATGGTGTTTAAATAGGTCTCATGCATCTTCTCTTTCCAGTTGGGGGGATTAAAGGTAGAAATGTGGCTGGGCAACAGTCCAGGTAGGAAGTTCTATGTTGTTTTTTATTTATTTATTTATTATTTATTTATTTTTAAAGATTTATTTATTTATTTATACAAGCACTGGGTACAGTCAGAAGCGCGGGAGGGTGAGAGAATTCACCAGAGCCAGAGCGGGGAACAGAGCAGGCAGCCTGACGAAATACACTGCTGAAGGGAGTAGCAGGCGGCAGGAGAGGTCTGCGCGCCATGTGGTGCCCTCACCCGGCAGCCTGGGATCGAACCGCCGCTGCAGAGGCTGTGGGCAGCTTTGCAACCCAGCGCTCAACTGCTGCGCCACCAGGGAGGCCCCTATGTTGTTTTTTAAATAGTGATTGGTTTTATCAAGTCCTTCCTGCCAGCCACTGCTCTAGACCCTAGGGATAGAATGGGAGCAAGACAGATACTTTTCCTTGTTTTGCTGGAATGAGACACAACTGAACACACAATTTCAGGTGGGGATGGCAGTGGGCAATGAACATGCTTACCAGGGGCATCTAACGTAGCCTGGGAAGCAGCAGGGGTGATGGTCAAGGACAGCTTCTGGAGAGAGTGAGACCTATGCTGAGGGAGAAGGAATGAAGAAGGTGTTTCTGTGGTTGAGGGAGAGACTAGTAGAAGGGTTGGAGCATGGAGAGAGCTGGCATCTGCAGGGAATAGGGAAGTATTCAGACTGGCTGAGGAAGAGGTGTGCGGAGGTGAGAAATTTGGCTGTCACAACACCTAGGTCATATGACCTGGAAGGATTCATCAAAGACTTTAGATTCTTGATTCTCAAACTGTGATGTGCTTCTGTATCACTTGGAGAGCTTGTTAAAAATGCAGATTTGGATTCAGAAGTCTGGGGTGGAATCTAAGAGTCTGCATTTCTAATAAGCTCCCAGATGATAACAATGCTGCTGGCCCATGGACCACACCTGGAGGCAAGACTTGTGACTCTCTCCTGCAGACAATAGCAAAACTATTGAAAGGTTTCAGGCAGGAGAATGAAATGACCTAGTTGTGTGATAGGAATACCCCATCATCTCCAGTAAAGTGATGATGGCTGGATATTAAGTGGAAAAATCCAGGACTGGACATCAGTGAGGAGCGGGTGGCTGTAGATGGCTATGTGAGTAGTCATGTGAGATCCAACAGTCAAGAGAGTGGCCATAAGCACTGCCTGTGGCTCATTCCTTTCTGTGTCCTGCTCAGACTCCCTGTAACACTCGTTCTGAGCACCTGCAGTGGGCTCCTGGGTGGTGGTGCTTGGGCAGGACAGGGCAAGGTGGCAGCCCAGCATGGCACTGAAGAGGCTAAGACCTCCTTCCTCATGGATTTCCAGTCCTGGATTTGCCTACCTAATATCCAGTCACCATCATTTTGCTGGAGATGGGTTTTTCCTACCACACAACTAGGTCATTTCATTTTCCTGCCTGAAAGTTTTCAATGGTTTTGTCATTGTCCTCAGGAGAGAGTCACAAGTCTTGACTCCAGTCTTGATCCTGGAGTAAAGTCCTAACTCCATTACTTCCTAGTTGTTTAACCTCAGAGCCTCCATTACCACGTCTGCTGCTGTAGATGGAAAATAATACCTGCCACGGAGTGAGAAGATTAAATGATATAATGTAGACAAGGCACTGAGTCCTGCGCTTGATGTTCACTGATTATGAATACATCGAGGACACTTGCTTCAGTGTTTTCACTTTGGGGATTTGGCAAAGAACAAAGTAAATTTGTCCTCTTGGAACACTTGATAAATAGTATCAGTACTTATTATTCTCAGCAGTATCCCTATGCTGTTGGTCCATTTTGGTGGGGAGGCTCAGTTAGCGTGCTTACTCCAAGTGAGGTAAGTCTGCTCTCACTTGCTGAGCAAGGTGTGGGGTGGACACTCTAACCTTACATCCAATGTAATTGATTCCTCTGGGCCTGGCAGCACTTTCAACTTAATTGCCCATCACACTAAGCAAGGATGCTTGAGGCCTAGCACCATATTCTGCTCAGTAATTTACATGTGGTCAGTGCTGTAATGTTACATATCATGGCTTTCGAAGGCTTGGGAGGGTGTATGCCCAGCTCATCACTAGCCAGTATGTTAAATTCCCATGTGAAAGAACTGCTTGGCTTTTGAGTTTGTAGGTTTTCTGATGAACTGAGTTGTTGAACTCTTAAGGAGAAGGATAAAACTAAGAGAATTATGATGGTTTCAGTGGAAGGAAGATGGCGGGGGGTCCTCTTTGCAAAGTAGATATGGCCTAGAATGGAGAGAGCTCTGATGAGCTCTCCACCTGGCTGAGAGAGGCCTGCCTGAAAAGCTTTCTTGGTGAGAAAAACTCTGGCTATGTAAGCAAATGAAAATTTAATGGGAGGTTATAGGAGCTGGATCCTATAGGGAGTAACCATAGAAGATCTGTGGACAAGACAGGCCAGAGGACCAGTTTTAGAAGAGGGTGGGAACCAAACAGGATTGAATAGGACTGGGAAACAGTTTGATAGCAGAATATGTGTTAGTTTGCTCAGAAAAGTAAGTGCACAGTAAGATTTTGCAATGACCAACCTCCTTTAGAGTTAGAATCTATAAACAAAGGTTCATTTCCTTCAAATACACTTGCTGTAAAACACGTCAAACTAAAACTCTACTTACTGAATGGAAAGGAATGTTCAGAGATTATATCTCTGCATCTATTGATATGATCATATGATTTTGTCTTTTATGGTGAATTGATTGATTTGCATATGTTGAACCACTAGGTGATGATGTATGATCCTGTTAATGAAATTGAAATGTTAAATTTTGTTGTGTATTTTTGAATCTATTTTCATCAGGGATATTGGTCTGAAGATTTCATTTTTTGTGTGTTGTCATTGTCTAATTTTTGGTGTCAGTTATGTTGGCTTCATAAAATGTGTTTGGGAGCATTCCCTCTTCCTCAATTTTTCAGGAGAGTTTGAAAAGGATAGCTATTAATTCTTCTCTGAAGTTTTGGTATGACTGACTAATAAAACCACCAGGCCCTGGGATTTTGGTTTATTTTGGGAGACTTTTGATTATTGTTTCAATTTCCTTGTTTGTAATTGGTATGTTTAGATTTTCTATTTCTTCCTGATTCAGTCATGGAAGGTTGTAAGCATCTCTTCCATATTTTCCAATTTGTTGGTATAAAGACATTCATAGGAGTCTCTTTGATCTTTTGTATTTCTGATATGTCTGTAATAGCTTTTCCATTTTCATTTCTGATTCTATTAATTAGAATTCTCTTCTTTCCCCTCTTTTTTAGTGAGTCTAGCAAGAGGTTTGTCTATTTTGCTTATTTTTTCAAAGAACCAGGTTTTGGCTTCATTGATCTTTTGAGCTGTATTTTTTTTTTACTTCTATTTCATTTAGTTCCATACTAATTTTTATTATTTACATCCTTCTACTGGATTTTGTTTTCAATTGTACATCCTTTTCTAGTTGCTTATGGAATAATGTTTGATTATTTATTTGAGCTCTTCTTGTTTCTTTTTGTGGACCCATATTAGTATATACTTCCCTCTTAGTTCTGCTTTTGTTGCATCCCATAATTTTTGGTAAGTTGTGTCTTCATTTTCATTTGTTTCCAGGTATTTTTAAATTTCTTCATGAACCCAATAGTCATCAAGTTGTATGCTGTTAAATCTCTACATAACAGAGGTTTTTCCTGTTTTCTTTATGTGATTGATTTCAAGTTTAGTATCATTATAATAAGAGAAGATACTTGATATGATTTCAATATTCCTGCATTACTGGCACATTTTGTGACACAAAATGTGGTCTAGCTGGAAAAATATCCCAGGATTCTCTAGTTAAGAGCCACCTTTATGATATCTGTTCCCTGGAAGTTAGTGTCAATATACCTGACCTCTCTGGGTTTCCCCTGGTTTTCCCCCATCATCGGTGTTCCCATTGCACTTTGTATTTCTCCCTGTGTAGAATGGCAAGGCCATTCCTGAAATAGCCCTGGGAGGTTTCACGGACAAGGACTGACCTGATCCCTTTCTGTGTTCTTAGGCCAGCAAAGTGCTTAACAAGTAGAGAGCATTTGATGTGTAATACTTGAATGAAACAAGTATGTGTGAGTATCTTACAAGAAACTCAATTCTAAGCAGCTGGGAATTTTAAGGGGTACGTTTTTGAGGAAGAAAAACAGTCAAACATCGTTTTGTGGTGTGTACACATCTCAAAGCCTCTCCACAGAGACATGTAGCTTTGGAAGTAAAGAACCAGAGAGAGTGAAGCCTGGGATTTATGATCTCTGCCTATTTAAGCTTTTAGTCCCTTGATTTATGAAGAATTTTTTTTCTTTCACAAAAGCTTTCTTCACATAGGGTATTTCTTTGCCTTGTTTAGTCTTTGTCAAATATTTTCTCTTTCATCTGGAATCATATTATCCTTCTCTTTGGGGTAATTCATGTTTGTGCAAACCCCTAGGTCTTTGCTGGGATCTGGGCCTGTGGTTCTGAGAAGAAACTCGAGCTGTCAGGGCATCTGCAGGACTGGTAAGCTTAGCTGTGGTTGATGATTTCAGAGTCAACATTTACTCCAAGGTGTATAAGCTCATCTGTGGGTGCAGAAATTCAAGATTCTGGATTTTATTATAAAATTAGATCCTCTACCCCTCCCTCCTTTAGGGATGGTGAATGACTGGAGAATGAAACTCTTGGTGGTTCTTGACTGCAGCCTCCCTGGAGCAATGAAATACAATGGGCTGTTGTAAGCAAGGAATAAATGTATAGAAAGAACCTGGGGCAACTCCCACTATGTCTGAGAGACTGGGCAACTGGGAAGCCACGGCCAGGGCTACCATTTCAGAGACACCCTCACCATAGAACAAGGCTGGTGAGGTCACCATTGTCCTCACCATTCACCCCGCACAGCCTGTGTAACAGCTGCTACCTGCACCAACACCACTGACCTTGCTACCCCTAGGAATGGGATCTTCCCTCTGCACTTACATCAGAATGGATCCATCCAGTCTCCAGCCCTCTGCATCTCTAGCTGCTGCTTCAAAGTCCTGGGGGTGCTATTGAGTAGATGGGCCAAGACCTTGTCCCATGCCCTGCCTTCAAGGCTTGGGTGGCCAGCATCACTTTCTGGGGTTCTGTATCCTAATAAGATGTATAAGGAGAAATTCTCCAAACACAGAAAACAATTTCACCTGCTGGGTTGTCAAACTTAAAATACCCAGGACTTTTCATTTTAAGCAGTTGTTTGCAAGAATAAGAAACTCATTTCCTGAATGCTTTAGACTCTGCTAGTAAAATGTTTTGTTGGTTCAGTATAGCAACATAGATGAATGGGGACCCAGATAGAGATTCTACTATCTCTGTGACTTCCTGTAGTATATGAATGAAATGTCCTTGGCTCACATAGAAGTTAGAAAGGCTCTGGATTTTTTCTTTTTAAACCAGGCTCTGCCTTTTTCTAGCTGGGTGATTTGGGAGACATCATTTCATTTCGCCCAGCCTCAGTTTCCTCATCTGTGAAATGGAGACGACCTTGGTACCTACCTTGTACTTAGGGTTCTTGAGAGATGACATCCACAAGGCTCCTAGGCAGTGCTGAGCACATAGTATTGCTTCCTAAAGGGTAGCATTTGTAGCCAAGTTAGAGTGGCTTGGACTTGGAGATTAGCCAGAAATGTCCAAAGGTAAGTCTTGCTCATGTCCAAGGTGTGCCAAAAGTGGGCCTTCAAGGATCATCTTGGGGAGGGGCCCCAATGGAAGAGGAGAGGGGTGACCTTCAGGCTGCATGACCTCTGTCAAACAGAGGTCACAAACTGGTCACAGTCACCTGACCACAATTGGCTTTCCAGGCACAGTGAACTGAAAAAAAAACCTTACAGTCCCACTCATTGTCCAGTCTGCTCGTTTTAGGCAGAAAGAATAGCCAGTGCAGAAGAAAATGATCATTTCCAGTTTATGCAGGTCTTTTTGGGGAACTTCTTTCAGATCTCAGGCACAAATCTCAGACATATCATCCCAACAACTTTAATTTCAGTGGGAGTTCTGGGAGTGTTGTTGGTTTGTGGACACTTATATTTCCGTTTTTGTTCTTCTATCCAGCACATCATATATGGGTTTTTATTTCTGCTAAGTGAGTGCTCATTTCAGAAACATCTCTTTTTAAAGCTTCTTATTGGAAGAAAATGTGTAAGATGCGGGCAGCAAATTTACGAGGAAATGACCTGTTGTTGGGTGACTCACCTCTTTAGGTATATTATCAATTTTATTATTATTTAGCATTTTTTGCTAAATTAAGGGCAAGAATGAGTCACCCAAAGAAGTAAAATTCTACACTTGTTTTTCCTATATCTGAGGATCATTTGAGTTTATATAAGATATTATTTCAGAGTTAGCATTAGCACACCACCTCTAAAGCTGCCGCTTTTAAACTGAGTTGCTGTAAAAGTGCCATTTAAATGTTTTCATGGAGGGATTAGGGATGGAATATGTACACACTGGTCACCCAGGGAGAGGTTGAAATAGTCATTTACCACTTTAATGGAAGCAGGGAAGGTAATTAACCACCATTTGCATGTAACAGTGAATATTTTGTGGTGGTGACAATGATTCATCCCTACTTAGTGCAGTAATTGGAGGAAAATTAAAACTAGGTCTTATGGCTTTCAGGCAACTATAGGATATAAGACTCCAAATTCATCTAATCTCCTGTTCTACTAACTCATCTTCCTTGTATTCCTCTAATACTCATCCTCTGTGCACAGCAAATTTCCCTTCTGTATGTCTCCAGAGGTTCAAGCAGGGAAGGCAAATAGGTTTCAATTGATTGGTTTTTGGTTCACTGATTGATTGGCAGTGCTTCCTATGATGGGTGTAGGCGATGGGGTGCTTAGGTTGACCAGTAATACTTACAGTGGGTCAGCGAGGGAGGAATGTTATTTCTTTTGCTATCCTCAACCAGTTCTAGGAGCACAAGATTAGGAATTGGGTCTGACCTTGGCTTAATCATAATATAATATATGGATTTAGACAAACCTCAGCATTCCAGTTTTCTCAAATGCCACTTGGGGGGAAGGGAGATAAATAGTCTATCAAACAAAAGTCGTAAGTCTGTCATAGAGATCAAAAAGATTTGAAAGCATGGAAATCCACATGATATATTGCTACATTCTCATTCTGAAGGATGTGCAGATCTATGTGAATAAGATTCAGAGCTCCATTGTAAAGATACATTTTTCATTTGTGTGGAAAGCACAGGGAAAGGAGGGCTGGGAGTCCTTGGGTAGAAATGGGTGAACTGTAGAAAACTAGCAATGGAAGTTATTATTTAGAAGAGGTTTTTTAAAAAAAATTGAGAAAATCCATTTTCTTTTTCCTCTCAACAAGACAAAACAAAACAAAATCTCTTATGGTAGCCAATATAGTAAACCAATTAAGTGGTGCTGTTCTATTTGAAATTGCTTATTTCTTACCACACTTCCCAGATTTGTGGTATAAGTACTATTAAATATGTTTGATTTTATAGGGGTGTCCCAGTCATCATCAAACAAAACTCCCTACCCTGCCTGTCGCATACGGGACCGAGACTCCAGTGTGTGGGTGTGGCCAAATTCTCCCCATAGAGGCAGGGAAGAGGGGTACTTGTTTGACTGCGATCTGATAATATGATGCTATGTATGGAAAAAATGTGTGCAAGAGAAAACCTGGCTATAATTATAAATGCAAAGTCATAAAAAAATCAACTGTTCATTTATAAAATCCTTGGGTGGACTGAGTAGTTCTTACAGCACTTTTCCATATCACTATTGATACATCAATGCAGCCATTGTTCCATCCATCGATCTACCCACCCACTCATCCATCCAGCTCCCCTGCCCCACTTATCCATCCATCCATCCATCCGCCCAACATCTGCTGTATATTGGGTACTGTGCATGCTGAGAAAACCAACGAGGACAATGATTCCATGAAATGTTTATTTGGCTTGGAGAAACAGAATAAACCAAGATAAAAATAAAACTTCAGATGATGATACGTCCAATGAAAATAGTATTTTCTTACAAAGAAGTCGAGGGTGGGCTTATCAATAGCAGGCAGTCCATAGCTGTTAAAGGAGTTTTTATTGGGCACCAGTAGCCCCATACCACAGGTTGGCAGTTGACACTTTCAAGACGATAGAGAGCAGAACCATATCCGTTGTAATCTTAGAGTTCCACAGGGTGCAAAGCAACTTTGTTTGCCTGACAGGATTGTGGCTGCAGGGGAGTGAAAAGGGGGCTTTTTCTTCTTCTATGTTTCTCAGCTCCCTGGCCATGTTTCCATACCTATGGCAATGTCATAAAAGCTACTAAGTCTTCATGGTAACATAGCACAGAGGAGTTGTGTTAGGGATTTATGGGCGCTGGAGTGGCCAGCTTATAACAAAATAACGTTAATAAATTTTGTTGACTGAGGAAAGGCAAAGTGTTTTACAGATCTAGAAAACAAATGAGAGCGAGCAGGGCTCAGCACTTGGAGAGAGGTTACAGAAGAGAACTCGAGGCTGAGATGAGAAACCCAAGCTGGTTCCAGTTCTACTGTGATCTGCACCCCTCCCCACCATGTGATGGAAGTGGGAATAAAATAGTGCACAAAAGAACCATAAATTTGACCAAAAAAAGGTCTTACATTTGAGGCATTTCTCATTTGTGGTTTTTGAATGTGAAGTCACAGTGTCACCAGATAGGACATCGGAGTTATGTGGGCTATCTTCCCTGAATGCTATTCCTCCACCGTGGCTGAGGTGACCTCCAGGTGACCTCCAGGAGAGGGAGACAGGAGCCCCTTTCTTTAGGATTAAAAGCCCTTTCTTTAGGATTAAAAATAGACCTGCCATAGGATGCAGTAGTTTCACTCCTAGGTGTCTACCTGAACAATATCAAATCACAAATTGAAAAGGACACACATACTCCTATGTTCATTGCAGCACTTTTCACAATAGTCATGCAATGGGGATGATGTAAGTGCCCAAGACAGAGCAGTGGATTAAGAAGATATGGGATGTATACACCAAGGAATACTACTAAGTCGTAAAAAATATGAAATCCTGCCATTTGTGCCAATATAGATAGAACTGGAGGGGATGACACTAAGTGAAATAAGTCAGAAAGAGAAAGACAAATACTGGACTCATATTCCACACTCATATGTGGAATCCAGAGAAACAAAATAAAGGGTCAGATAAAGCCAAACTAATGACAAACCCTAGAGACACAACTGTAGAACTGAGGCTACCAGAGGAAGAGGTAGGGAGAGCAAAGGGTGGAGGGGGTCCGATATACTATGGTGGAGGACTTGTACCTCTAAATCATATCTAGTGTTTTAAAACAGCATTACCACAATGAAAAATATATAATTAAAAAAATCCTCTCTGTTCCCAATATCAGCGAGAAGAGAAGCGCCTGGGTACAGGCAGCAGGAGAGTGGCGGGGTAGCTGGGGACTTGTGTTTCAGCCTCCCCGGGGTGCCAGGCAGGCAAACCAGGTCAACAGAAGGCA